CACTTCAAGTTCTTTGCAAATTGTTGGAGCCCTTATGAATGGGTCCAGACATCATGGAAAGTAATTTGGGACTATGCCCAATGAGTCACCAAACTGTATACATACCTTTTGGCCCAGTGATGCCACCATGAAATCTAAAATAGAAAGAAATAAAAAAAGGAAAAGGATCTATATGGCCAAAGATATGATGAGCCTTTTTTAGAAGCCAAGAACTATAAACTACCAGGGTACCCATTAATTAGGGAATGGCTAGACAAATTTTTGACATATTGGTGTAACTGAATTCTATTGTGCCATAAGAAATGAAAAAGGGAGATGAAGAGAAACTAAGAAGATATATAAACTGATACAGGGTAAAGTGAGCAGAACCAGGAGAACATTTTATACAATAATAACATTATAAAACAAATAACTATGAAAGACCTAAGGACTTTGGATCAATGCAATGCCTACCCAAAATTATGAAGGACTAATGAAGAAAACATGCTACCCACACCTCCTGATAGAGAGGTGATGAACTCAAGATGCAGAATAAGACATATTTCTAGACATGGCCAATGTGGGTATTAATTTTGATTGACTACATAAATTTGTTCCAAGATTTTGGTTTTTCTTTTTCTTCAATAGAAGGAAGTGTATGAGAGAGAAAATAAGTGTTAACCAAAAATAGGAACAATAAAATAAATAAAAATAAAATAAAAATAAAGCTCTTTCAAAAATGTTCATTGCTCAAGGGTAGGCTGAGCCAATACAACAAAAATGATAATTCTACCTAAATTAATTTACTTATTAAGTTCCATACTAATCCAACTACCAAAAATATCTTATAGAACTAGAAAAAATGATAAAATTAATCTGAAAAAACCAAATGTCAAGAATATAAAGAGAATTAATGAAAGAAGTACAAATGAAGATAGTCTAGCCATGCCAGACCTCAAACTATATTGTAAAACAGCAATCATAAAAATTATCTGGCACTGGTCTAAGAAATAGAGTGGTGGATCTGTGGAATAGATTTGGTACACTAGGCATAGAAGTCAATGACTATAGTAAACTCCTGTTTGATAAACCCAAAGACTCCAGCTTCTGGGATAAGAACTCACTATTTGACAAAAACAACTGGGAAAACTGGAAAATAGTATGGCAGAAACTGGGCATAGACTAACATCTTACACCATATAACAAAATAAAGTTGAAATGTGTAAATGATTTAGAAATAAAAGCTGATACTATAAGCAAACTGGAAGAGCACAGAACAGTTTACCTGTCATATTTATGGAGAACAGAAAAATTTATGACCAAACAAGAGATAGAGAACACTGTGAAATGCAAAATGGATAATTTTGATTACATTAAATTGAAAAGTTTTTGTATAAACAAAGCCAATGCAACCAAGATTAGGAGGGAAGCAGAAAATTGGGAAATAATTTTTGCGACCAGTGTCTCTGATAAAGGCCTCATATCTAAAATATATAGAAAACTGAATCAAATTTATAAGAATACAGGTCATAACCCAATTGATAAATGGTCAAAGGATATGAATAGGTAGTTTTCTGGTGAAGAAATTAAAATTACAATCATATTTTTAAAATGCTCTAAATCACTATTGATTAGAGAAACATAAATCAAAATAACTTTTAGGTACCACATCACACCTACTAGGTTGACTAACATGACAAAACAGGAAAATGATAAATGCTGGAGAAGATGTGAGAAACTTGGAACACTGATGCATTCTTGGTGAAAAGCAAAGGATAGTGTATCTATCAGATCCATGGAGAAGGGAAGAATTTTTGACCAAACAAGACACAAGGAGAACATTACAAGATGTAAAATTAATAACCTTGAATATGCTAAGTTAAAAAGGTTTTGCACAAAAGTAAACCAATACAACCAAAATTAGAAGGAAAACAGAAAGCTGGGAAAATTTTTATAGCAAGTATCTCCAATAAAGGCTTCAAATCATAAGAATACAAGTTATTTCCCATTTGAAAATGGTCTAAGGATATTAACAGGCAGTTTTTAGATGAAGAAATCAAAGCTAGCTATAGTGAAATGAAAAAATGCTCTAAATCATTATTGATTAGAGAAATACAAATTTAAACAAGTCTGAGGTACCACATGACATATCAAATTGGCTAATATGACAAAAAAGGAAAATGATGGATGTTGGAGGGGATGTGGGAAAACTGAGAAACTAATGCACTGTTGGTGAAGTTGTCAATTGATTCAACCATTCAAACAGTTTGGAACTATGCCCAAAGGGTACTCAAACTGTGTGTACCCTTTGATCCAGCAATACCACAGTTAAGTCTGCATCCTAAAGAGATCATTAAAAAAGGGAAAAGGGCCTACATTTATAAAAAATATTTATAGCAACTCTTTTTGTGGTGACAAAGAATGGGAAACACAGGGGATGCTCATCAAGTGAGGAATGACTGAACAAGTTGTGGCATATGAATGTAAGGGAATACTACTGTGCCATAAGAAATGAGGAGCAGATTTTAGAAAATCTTGGGAAGACTTACATGAACAGATGCAAAGTGGAGACAGTAGAACCAGGAGAACATTGTATGCAGTAACAGCAATGCTGTATAATGATCAACTATGAATAACTTAGCTCTTCTCAGCAATGAAGTAACACAAGACAGTTCTAAAGTACTCATGACAGAAAACACTATCCACATCCAGAGAAACAACTGATGGAATCTGAATACAGATCAAAGCATACTGTTTTCACCTTCTTAATCTTTTTCATGTTTTTTTTCCTTTTGATCTGTTTCTTCTTTCACAACATGACCAATATAGAAATATGACATGATTGTATAAATATAAGCTATTTAAAATTGTTAACTTTTAAGGGGAGGCAGAGGGAAGGGAAAAATTTGGAACTCAATTTTTTTAAATAAATGTTTAAAATTGCCTTTACATGTAATTGGGAAAAAGCAAAATGCTATATAAAAATAATAAAACTCTTCCTAATGCAGCCCTTTCCTACCTTTAAAGACTTACTATACTTTATTCCACTCCATGGTTCTGCTTACACTGATCTATTTGATTTTCCTCCCACATGTTACTTCATCTCTCTCCATGTCCTTGTACTGGCTGTCTCCCATACCTACAACATTCCATCCCCTCATCTCCACCTCTTAGTTTTCTTGCCTTCAAACCTGAGATCAAATACCGTCTTCTGCAGGAGGCTTCTTCCACTCCACCCTGCAGCTGTTAGTGTCTTTCCCCTAGCATACTTTCTGTATACATTTTGTATGTACCTACTTATTTATATGTTGCCTTCCCCCACTGGAACATAAATTCCTTAATGGTAGGAACTCTTTTTGCCTTTCTTTGTATCAACAGCCTTTATAGCATGGTACCTGATACATGGTAAGCATTTTAATAAATGCTTATTGACTACCTATTCCATGACTCCCTCTTTGCGGTAGAAAGGAAGATAAATCCTGAAAGAAGAGTTCCGAAATTTGCAAAATGTATTTCCACAAACATTTAATGTTTTGTTCTTCATAGGTAATGACTAAAAGGAGAATGTAAGGACTGCATGACTACTGAAGTGGGAAAAAAAAAAGGCTATACCCTTTTCTGTTATTCCCATTTTACTTTTTTTCTTCAAAACCCAGCAACTGCACTTCCAGTTCTGACACAGACAGATACTAGGGTACACAATTATTATTGCTCAATCACAGAGCTTCAGATAAAATCCCCTACATATCTGTTTTTTATTGAGAAAAAAACTGATACCATGCTAGAGTACAAGATTTCCCACTCAAACCCTCTCTCTCAAATGTAGTTTGAATGAAACCCAGACACAGACCATAATAACACTTTGTGGAATAAAATGACACCAAAAATGAAACATAAGGATAAGATGAATGTTTTTTAATTGAACAAAATATTAAAATAACCTTTTCGGGTATTTTTTTTAAAATACGGTAAATTTGAGTACGTGAGAAGAAATGCAAGGACCCTAATCTTTACTGTTGAAAAGATTATGCAAATGGAAACTTACAGATACAAAGTAACAAATTTGTTTACTGTTTATATATCTATATATTTATTTATAAATAGATATGTACACATACTCAAAGTTGAGAATTTGAATATACAGCTATTGTTTTCCCTTTCAAACAGACTGCATTAGAAGTTGTACCATAAATTCTTTTCCATTTCCCTAGCTTGGACCTTCAACTTCTTAGCAAGGAATCAACCAATGCTTTTTGCTTGCCCCATTCGGACTAAAGTATTTCTATCCTTTCTTCATTCCTCAACTCACAGAGCAGTACATTTTATAGTTTCTAAAGCTATAAAACTGACAGCCTTCTAACTTGGATAAGTTATGCATGTGTCTGCTAAGAGCTATAGAAAAAAGTAGCACCTACACTTTGCAAATACATTTGTTTCTTGCATTGCCTCACATAGAATAACTAATACTCAACAATGAACATCTCATAAAAATATACCATGAATGCTTTCAGAAATTCTGTAATACGTAACATCTTTGGATGATTTTTACAAGTTTGGCATCTCTCAAATAACATTTTATACATTTCTGACACTCAGATTCTACAAAAAAAATTGATATTAACTTTAAAATATTAACATCTTATTATTTTGTCAAAGTTAATATTTTCATCAAAATGCAAACATTTTTCAGTTAAATTATTTCATTTTATTGTATTTGTTTATTCAACCATTCATATTATGATAGTTATTTTTAATATTTTTATCTTTTTTTAAATTCAGAATTGCAATTTCATTGGTATAGAGAATTCCTGGTGAGGAAACTATGCCAATACAGAGCTACAACTGTTCTAAAGCTCACAGTGGCAGAGAGTTGGCTTGCCCAGGCTAACAGAACCAATATGTGTCACAGAAATAGGATTTGAACCTATATCCTCATAATTTCAAAACTGGCTCTCTGACACACAAGTCTTCACTGATAGACCAAAACCATTCAATTTAATCAGATCAGAAGTATTGCTTACCACCAGGGATAAGGGCCTTTTCCAAGAAACAACACCAATCAATCCTGACAGGAGCACCTGAAATCAAGTATAAATATTTCTGTAAGGTATAACTATTAATAAATCTAAAAAATAAAATAAATCTGAAAATATTTTTTTCTAAACAGATTAGGACTTAATTAAGATAAAATGTATCCTCTGTGTAGTAGACAGGATAAATAAATGCTAAATTTAATCAAAAAATATAAGTATAACAATATTGAATGAGCAAGATTTTCCCCACCGAGTATAGACATACTCCACAAAAATGTAATAAAATGTTAGGTTATATAAAATTATATTACAGGGGATGCCTAGCTCTAAAGAAGTAGCAGTACTAATAGTGCTAATGGTAAAAATAGTAAGTAATTACTAATTAACTTTTTGTGTACTGATTACCTCGCAAAATAGGCCCTAGTGGCTAGCATTAGTTCACTATCTTTCATGGACTACTTATGACAGATCCCCATACTACAAATACAGACCTTAAAATGTTCTGGAGAATTCAACCAATAAACAATATTGGAAGTAGACCCTTCTCACAGATCTGTTATTCACAATTGCCCAAATGCCATTTTGAGCCATAAAGAGTTAAGAATAAAATTTAATAAATGTAACTATATTAAATACTCATAATCACTGAGAATGAAAAACTTTCAAAATATAGATACTTAGCAAAAGAAATCAAAATTGTTTAGGAACAAGGTGAGGCACATATCTACATATCTCTCTTCCAATGGAGTTGTATCAAGGTTGCTTTCAGTGAACCTACAGAAGATAAACTTAGATCTTAATACTTATAATCAAATACAAAAAGCAGTTATTGTATCCATCTGTACAACTATATATAGAACATAAAAGAATGACAGAAGGATAGAGACCTGCCCATAGGACTTTTATATGAATCTCACAAAAAAAGAGATGAGAATAAGATAATAATAAAAATCATATAACTTGATATTTTACAAATTGCTTTTTTTTACTTTTGTTATTATAAAACAAAGTTATAAATAGACAAATGTCACACTATAAATTAAATTAGGTCTGACAGAGACCTGTGGACAGCTATATTAGTTCCCTCTTCCCCACAACTTTTCCCTTCCTCTACCTCAGAAACCTAAGCTTTCTCCCATGAAATTTGAGGTAAGAGCAAGGATGAAGTTACACCATATATGATGGGCCCAGAACCATGGTGTATTGGTAATAACAAATTTCCTTGATGTTATGCTGGTCCCTACAACAACTTTAAATTTTCCTACTATGCTTCTGACTATCCATAGAAGAAAAAGTCAACAATTTAAAACCCACTCCCTCCTCCAAACTTCCCCACTGAAAGGAAGAGGCACTATACTTCCAGGCAGCCAGATAAGCAACCTGACAATCAACATTAACACTTCAACTCTCCCTCTTTTCACCCCATCATATCCAATCAGTTGTCAAGTTTTATAAATTTTATCTTTATAACATCTTTCACAGTTATGTCCTCACTATACAAATGACTTTGGTTCAGTCACTCTTCAATTTTTGCATGGACTACTTCAAAAGCCTTCTAACTAGACTCTTGGCCTTCAATCTCACCATTCCCCAAATCATCCTCCATATGGCTGCCACAAGACACTTTCTAAAGCAAAAGGCTGATTATGGCATCCCCATAGCTAAGAACCACCAGTGACTCTGTTGCCTAGAGGAAGAAAAAGTAGGTTCCTAAGTTTGGAATTTAAAGTCTTTCAAAACTTGGCTTGAACCTAATTTTCCAGGTTCATTTCATATTATTTGATTTCCTATTCTAGAAAAACTGGCTTGCTTGCTCTTCTAATAATTAGCATCTCACCTCCTGCCTTCAAGCCTTTACACTGCCTCCTCATACATGTCTAGCAAAATACATACCTTTCTTCAAGTTTCAGTTTCTGTGTAATCTCCTGTGGAAAGCTGCTCCTGAATCCTCTAGTCACTAATATCCTTTTCCTCAAATTATCATCTATGTACTCATTAGTTTGTTGAGTTAGACTGTTGAATCCCCCCTCCCTCTCACAGAATATAAGACCCTTGGAGGAAGGGATTGTTTATCATTCTCTTTTTGTATATCCGGTGACAAAAGCAGTACTCTGTACAGCATAGGTACTCAGGGAAAAAAAAATACACACACACACACAACACAACACACACACACACACACACACACATATACATACACACACATATATATGCATATACATATATGTATACACATACATACACACACATACACACATACACATATATATATACATGTGTATATATATATATATATACGTGTGTGTGTGTGTGTGTGTGTGTGTGTATATGTGCTGAGCCAGCTTTAACAGCTTGTGAACAGGTGTAGAGCAAAAGCTATAGTAGAATCTTTATCTCTATATATTATAGATATATGTCACAATGTATATATGTAAGGTAGATATAAACATAGATATATGCTCTCTCCATATATACGTATATGCACATACATACACATGTGTGTATACATACATACTTATCAAGCCATGTATATGTATATATGTATGTATATACATATATATATGTATATACATATACATATATATATATACATATATATATGTATATACATATACATATATACATATATATATATATATATATATTATATATATATATAATATATATATATATATATATATATATATATATATATATGATTTGGACAAGTAGTTCAGGTGGACTGAAAAGGAAAACAGTGGCATATAAGGTCCCTTGTAATTGGTTCACTAGGTACCTTCAGGGGCTTGCTCAGTGACCATTTCCTGATTGTCCCAAATATCAAAGAATTATAAGTAGTCCACTTAGGCTTCTCTCTCCCTTGTCTAGCAATGAAAGTGGAGAGTATTTAGAATAACAGAAATCAAATGTTATTATAGCAAGTACTTGCTACCTGAAGGTGGGGCTTAAATTAAAAAAAAAATTTATGTCATTATGAAACAATATGGTTAGGCATAGCCTTATGAGGGTTATTCAACGTTTTTGAAAATACAAAGGTGCTATTTAGAAAACTGCTTATAAATAACACCCTAGTAATTTGAAAAAGATCATATATCACCCACTTGTGTTTATATCAAGGTTAATTATTCACTTTAGATCTCCTTATCAGGCTTTTTAGCTAAAAATAATAAAGAGATGGCTATTAATTTAACATGTGAAAAATAACTTAATAGATATACCTTAGGATTTTAAACAAATCCAAATACTTACTGTAAATGGCTTGATAAGTATGTATGTATACACACATGTGTATGTATGTGCATATACGTATATATGGAGAGAGCATATATCTATGTTTATATCTACCTTACATATATACATTGTGACATATATCTATAATATATAGAGATAAAGATTCTACTATAGCTTTTGCTCTACACTTGTTCACAAGCTGTTAAAGCTGGCTCAGCACATCCCAGGATGCATGGGAAAGGTATGCTGTAGGATGTGATATAAGCTTAGCATTGAAGAAAATCTGGGAATCTAAGAGGCAAAGGTCAAGAGGGAGAGCCTTCCGGGCATTGGAGACAATAAGTGCAAAGGCACGGGATGTCCTACAGGTGAAACAGCAAGCAGATATGTTGTTACAGATTCCTGTGACATCTATAACAGAATTCAATTCCCCCACTCCAAATCATCCATCATTGTCAAGCATATTACCTCTTAGTCTTCCAGGCCCATAACTTTAGTATAATTCTAAATTTCCAAAAGATAGAGTCAACCATGTAGGACTGCAGCTAAGAAGAGTGACTAGAGCTAGAGGTAGACTGAGTGAGACAGACAGATAGATTTTGGTATCCTATGCATATAACTGGCGATTGAGCCTGTGAGAAATGATGAAATCACCAAATGAGATTGTTGTATAAAGCAAAAAGAAAAGGGTGCTCAAGACAGAACTTTGGGGGACATCCACAGATAGTGGGCGTAGTATAAATGAAGAACCAACAAAACAGACAAAGAAAGGGTCAGATACATCAGGGGAGAATGAAGAGAAAGCAGTGTCATAAAAACCCAAAGAGGAGAAAGTTTCTAAGAGGAAAATAAGAGTGTCTAATGCTACACAAAATTTAATTAAGACTGGGGAAAGGCCATTAGATTTGGCATATTCCAGAAATTATTGGTAACTTTGGACAGAGTAGTTTCAGTTGAATGACAAGGTCAGAAATATTTGCACAGGGTTTAGAAGAGAAAAGTAAGACAGGGAGTAAAATTATTATTGAGTTTTTTGATGGCTTTTTCAAGAAGTTTAATGAAAAAAATGGATGAGAGATACAGGATGATAGCATGGATGGTAGAAGGTTATTTAAAGATAGGGGAAAACATGTATATGCTCATAGGCAGTAGGGAAGGAGATGGTAGACAGACAGAAATTGAAGGTGAGACAGTATAGGAATGATGATAGGGGCAATCTGCTGGAAAAATGTGAGCAGATAAGATCAAGAGTATGTATGTAGTAGAAGTGTTAAACAGCCAAGGGGCCATATAGTCTACAACACTTCCAAATTGGCTCTGAACAAGATTTAAAAAACAGCTGAAAAATACTGAACAAAGTACATAAAGCAATAATACATAGATAACATTACATTTTAAAACTAAGTCAATATGCAGCCCACAGGGATCCTTACATATGCATTTCCTCTCTCTGTTGGAGCTTAACACCATTGATAAAGGATTTAGCCTTGGAAAAGAGAAAGGCTATGTTTTCATCTAGGACAGTCATAAGAAACTGGAGGAAAATGACTGAGTGATGATGAGATGATCAAGGCATCCACCAGGGTAGTAGCAGTGTCAGATGTAAGAAGGAGGTGCATACAAGAGATGTTATAATGGTAAAATGATCAGAATTTGTCAACTGATTGGATATGGAGGGGGTGGAGAAAGTGGATGGAGTGATGAATTGAAGATGACACCTAGAGAGGATAGTAGTACCCTCAACAGTAACAGGGAATTTAGGAAAAGGAAAAGGGTGTGGGAGAGGGGGAAGATGATGAGTTCAGTTTTGGACA